GAACTCGAGACGTATAGTCGATTTCTCCGATCACGTAGAACTAGAAATGCTACTCCTCTGCTTCCACAAAGTCGATTCTCCAGTGCCTACGGGTCTGCTACGAAATTTTTGACACTTCGTATATAGAATTGTGAAAGAAAAGGTTTCAACTCTGCCGTCGCGTCCACTGCCGCGTGTAGAAATAGCTTTTATATGTATTTAAAAGCGAAATAGGAACGCAATATCGGCCGAGTCCTTTTTTTTTTGCTTTGTTTTGATAAACCGAGCGCTTCTACGCGCACTATATGTAGAACTTTCCCTACAAATAGCGGAAGCAAAGGGATTGGATTTATCTTACGGAAGGTCTTTAGTATTTTTATCGCGTATTTCGGCAACACGGAGATATCAGGAGATTTATACGGGATCTGGTTCATTAGATGCTTCAAAACTCACATCCCAGCTACACTCTTGTACATTTATTGCTTCAGCTTACATGCCAAAAGGGGACATTCCAGCTACATAACAGAGTCATTAATCCTGTATAAAAAAATACAAAACAATGTATAAAGTCAAATTGGTCGCACTATAACATAATTGTGAGTAACTCGCGTCAAGAGAAGCGAAGAACCGTCATGGATCGCAGCTTAGCTTGCTTAAAAGAATCGAATTTTTTATTTCTTTGCCAGTGTCTCTTTGCATTTCTTTGCCCGGCATGTCACCCGTCACTTTTGCAGTTTCACTGAGCAGCGTTTCTTTTCGTTATACTTTTACGAGATCATCGTGCTTTCTCTCTTTCTCTTTCTTTCTTTCTCTCTTTCTCTTTCTCTCTTATACGACATTATACAAGGTGTTTGAGATTGCTAAACGTGTGCTGGAGGATAGTGGAGAAATTTGTTGTTCAGTTTGACCAGATCTATCTGTATATGTGCTTGTTGACAGCCTCGTGTCAGACATCCTATATACGTACTATCTTGACTTTACGATGCATATCTTGTAACATTATGACGAAAACCGATTACCGTTATACAGTTAGTTAAAGCGTGAGCCGGCTTACTCGAGACCTAATCCGCTTAAACTAGACTAGCCCGTACTGGAGCTAATCGAAGCAGATCTCGCGAAGTCGAGGGAAAATTGCAAGTATTTTGTCGTATAGTCGATTTCACGCGAACCTACCGATTCGCGGGATACATGTGCGTCATGATCGATCTTATTCTCGTTTATATCGTCGAATGAAATCGTCGACGGAGTTGAAGAGAAGGAGACAGAGAGAGAGAGAGAGAGAGCGAGAGAGAGATAGAAACAAAGAGAGAGGGTAGAAGTAACTTCGCGAAATTGGCGGAATCGCATGTACAAACGTGTACAAACAACGCGTCTTACCGTTCCCATCGGCGCTCGCGGGTCGCGGTTTCCAGATTACGTGCCGCTTGTAGAAATTAGACTGCGCTGCTAATCGGATGCAGATTAGGTTCTAACGCGATCCGTAGAAGCCCTCCCCTGTTGAAGCTCTCCGTTGTATGATGACAGCGCGAATGCACGCCGGGGATACGCCGAGTAGACGCCGAGCACGTGTTCTAAGTACGACTAGCGGCAACGATATCGCGTACGTACGTACGTACGTATGTACGCAGAGTAGGTAGGTAGGTAGGTAGGTAGGTAGGTAGGTAGGTAGGAAACAAGCCTTGGAAACTGCTTAATATGCCACGGCGCCGTGTGCTTAGCTGGTGCATCCTTCGCCGTGGGGTCGTCCCGGTCCTGGCGGAGTTCCTTGGAGGGATCCCAAGTTGCTGGGTGTGCGCTTCCTCGAATCCATGGTACGCATATCTATCTTGTCGCGTTAATCGTATACGCGAGAGACGGTGGCGGCGGAGGATACCCGAGCGGCCGCGGCGTCTCTCGCGTCCGTGTCGCGCATCCCGCTAATTACGAAAGGGAATCCTTAATCGTCGAGGCCGCTTTGAATTCGTGGAGCGCGCGGCTTCTTTGTGCGCTGTGAAATTTCAGAAAAGCTGCGCTCAAGTGTCGTCGACGTATGCGTCGACTCAATTATACAGCGACTGCGCGAAACGCTCGATTAAACGCTCGGGTCTGTAGGTTCGTACATGGACCTCTTTTTTTTTCACGAGAAACGAAACGTTGTGCTCTTTCAATTGAAAGTCGATGCTAGTACGAAAAAATATTGTGCCAAAAGTATCTTATATACAGACTGTCTGAGGATTATTGATTCATCCGTTGTGTGCAGGTAACATTGATCTAACTAAACGCCAAATATTATTTCAACAATTCACGTACAATTTTGAGTTATTAAGGTTATTAAGGATTCCTGGCCCCTCGTATTGTTTATCTATTTTTAATGACGTTAAAAGTGAGAAAATGTATGCTAAAAATTCTTGCAAAATATGTTAAAATAAAAATATATAACCATAAAGTGACACTTGCACACACACGTACAATCGATTAAACAAATTAGATAAAATTAGATTAAACAAATAAAATAAATAAAATCGATTAAACAAATTAGATATTCTGTGCACCCTCTTTTACTCTAACAATCAATAATTTGTCGTAAATTAACGTGATGTATAATTCATCTTCTTAATTCTATTTCTTTATCTTCTATTTCTTTGCCTATTTCTATTCAGGTTAATTTACGACAAAATATTGATTGTTAGAGCCAAAGGGGGAGTGCACGGAATATCTTATAAATTTGTTTAATCGATTGCAAGTGTTACTTTATGGATATATATTTTTATTTAACATATTTTACAAGAATCTTTAGCATGCATTTGCTCACTTTGGACATTAAAAAGAGATAGAGGCCAGGAGTCTTAATTAAAGAAGTTTGGTGCATCATCGTGCACAATCATGCACCAATCTTCTTTAATTAATAACTAAAAATCTACGTGATCATTTGCAAAATGGTACTTTTTTGTTTAATTTTGACCTCGTATACCAATACATGGCGGCAAACGTCATTGCAGTTCATCTATCTATATCGCGCGTGATCATTCACCAATTTTCTTTAATTAAATAAACATAAAATTTTATGTGGTCGTTTGCGAAATGGTAGAAAAATTTTGTGTTCAGTTTGAGGTAGCTTCTACCTACATGCAATGGATATATCAGTAATTGTCAGACATTCTGTACACACTATGTTCGAAATAAACTGGGGAATGTTCTTTCTCGTGGAAAAATGTTAAGTGTCAAATTGCTGTCACTTTGTGAAAAAATAACCGAACAAGTTTTAAAAGAACGTTCCGAAAAATGAAAACTTTATTTTAAGCGATTTAAATTAGACATATTTTTGGATGAATAAGATCAGAACATTGATGTTAGAACGAATATTTTACTAGCGCGTTAATTATGAAACATTATTATCCTCTCAATATTTAGTGAAATATTCACTCCAACATCAGCGTTTTGGTCCTATTTGCCCAAAGATATGTTTAATTAAGTTGTACACTTGAAGAGCTTGTGTATATAGGATTGTTTATTTTAAGCAGTTTTTTAGAATTTCAGAAAATTAATTTTTCTTGCAAAGCTGTATCTCCTTCTCGCTAAACAAGAGAGTGCTTCGTTAGTCAAGACTGACCTCTTTTCTGGCGCAGTTCACCGAGATGAAATTTGTTGCACAATTTTTATCGAAATTATATAGATATTAGTATGTAAAATCGTCGATTGAAATAAAATATCTCAAATATTTCCCACGAGTTGCATTGAAAATACGGTTTTAATTTATAGCCCGAGCTGCCATTGTGCAGTCACGTAAAACGACATTAGCGTTTTTTTGCACTTCTCGATACAGATAAATCGATAATACACGATACGTAACGTGATAATGTGACGTGACGGGGATACGTTTCAGTGCTGACAATGCACAATATATTGGGAGGCGGTCTACGTTAGCGGCATATAATTCACCGCAATTAGCACATCGTCGCGCGACGTGCCGAACATACTTATGACGCTCAAGTTACGCCTCGAAAACTATCAATTCGTGGATTGCTTGTATTCACTTATCGTGTTGCCGCGAAAATCGTCCTCCTCATAAGAATTAATTGTTCTCCGACAAAAATATATTAACAGAGCATTTATACTATATATAATAATTACCACCTTGTATCGCACAGATCGTAAATAATAAGATATGGGATAAGATGTAAATAATAAGAATGGGAGAAAACGATGTTAAACAGCACACAGAGTTGGAAGTAACGCGTTCCTTGTAACGCTGTCACTGTTGCACGTTATTTTATTTAAACAGTCACTCGATATTTTAAGGTAACAGCTTTTCCTTTTCTTTTTGTTAGTAACAATCAGTGTTAGACACTAATCGGTTAAAATTTGACTAAAATTGACTAAAGTAATTGACAAATCTATAATCAAAATTAATCAATCGCCATGTAATCAAGAATAATTCACTCGATTAATAAAATTAATTATTGATCAGCGTATAATTAATCCAATCAAAGTTGAATTAACAATTAACTTCATCGATCGACTAAAATTATTCGCGATCACATGTATAACGGTTGATTAATTCTGACCATTGATTTGCCAGTTATTTGAATCAACTAAAATTCTAATCGGTTAATGCCCGAAACTCGGGCATAATGTTAGCGCAATTTCTCGGTTAATGATAACGGGCATAATCGTTACTTTTATCGTTATCTTGCGCATGCAGAACACATGCACACAGGACGACGGGCTGCGGTGAGCTGTAAAAAAAAGTCTTCAGCACTTGATGAAAAAAGCAAAGGAAGCTGTAATGACTCGTTACTTTCAGAATAACGGTAACGGTAACGAGTTACTTTAAAAAAAAGGTTACTTCCCAGCCCCGATAGTGCAGCGGATGACGTTACGTTAAAGTCACGCTACTTTACAAGGAGTCAATATCGCGCGTTACAACGACGTGCATTACGCGCTAGCTTTTTAGCGACTACGGCGCAAGACTGCGTCTCCTCTCTCGCTTCGTTCGTCCGATAAAATTTTCGAGGCACCCGGAGAGGAGAGAAAAGGGCGAAGGGAGGAGACAGAGAAGAGCGCGCTTCGTTGCACCTTCGATAAGTGATTCTCTACGTAATTGTACGTTTAAGCAACAATCTCGCGTCGGGAAACCAATTGGAACGATAACGAAATTACGCTGTCACAGCGAATGGGAGTATCTCGCGTCAGCCTGCACTGGCAACTTTGCATCAAAACTTTCTACCGCTGCGCGAGTAACCGTGTTAAATTGACGAACATTGGCCCCGAGGGCTCGCAAACTATAGACGTCGCCGTAATTGAGGGGCTCCTTGCGAAGGGGATAAGTCCATTTTGATGTGTCCCTCTCGAAAGATGAGAGCAGGAGCTGGTTTTAAAATCTTTTTACGATGCATTAAGCGCCGCGCGATGCGACAAGCTCGAACCGTCGGTCACAGTTGACAGCCGTTATGTACTTGCATCGTGATACACACATGCGGGATATTTGAGGAGCAGCAGTTGAAATGGGCGAATTTTCCTGCCGCAGTTTGGTTCTCAAATGTCGCGACGTAAAATATCGCTTACTCGTCGACGCACGAAAACTCTGTTCTCGAGGAAAAAGCAGTTCCGTTGTCAGCAATAAGTATCGTCGCAAATAGTCTATCTCTTCCTCCAAACAATTGATAGCATCAATTCGTATTCTCTGCCTTTACGACCATGAAAAAAAAATAGTTATTCGCGGACTCGATATCTTTCTCTCGTGTATTGTTACGCGAGATTCTTCAATTATCGTTTTCGTTCAGCCGTGATCAGTTCTTTTCATCAGTTTTGGTGCACGTGCGTGCGTGCGTGTTAAGTAGTTTTGCTAGGCGTGAGAAATGATCGAATTTTTACATTGTCGAAGACGATATCAGTCGCACGCGGAGAGTGCTCTTTACGCGGCGCAAACGAATAATAGGGAAAGGCCGATATTAGGTATGGAAATACGCATGAGCTCGCAACATAAATTTATGCGAGTGTATCGCGCGCGATATCTGTCGTATCATTGTAAATGATGTTTTCGTTAAAATGGCGAAATTCTACTACTACTATTATACCATCACTACTATCACTACTACTACTACACTGAGGGAAATGTCTGATGATAATAATCAAAATTCTATTTAGGTTTACCAAACGATATGATGAATAATCGTATAACAAAATATTTAGTCAATGAAACTATCTGGTGAACGCCTTGTCTAAGTAACATTACAATAACGCTTAAATACGTTTACCAAACCGGTATAGCATACAATTCATTTGGTGAATGTTATGAATACAGTTGTGGAGTAGTGTTAGACTTTTTACCTAACTTAAAATCTAACCATATTATATAATTTTCATATACTTACTGTATATAATCTTCATATATTTACTTCTAAAGTCGTCGATATATTTTAAGAAATTTTATTCTTCCAAATATTTGACGGTTTCAGCGTTTACTCTTTTATAGCACCGACGTCTTTATACATTAGTATAGATGAAAAAGGAAACGTCGCAGCGAGTAACAATTAACTATCGCGTCAATAGTATCACACGTCTAGAGAGAATTACCAAACTGTCTAGATGTCTACAACAAAACGTCTCGGTATTGACTACCAGATGCGTCGAGGCATCGTAATCAGAATATTGGATATGTGAATCAGATATCGTATATAAATTCACTATATTACTTTCATAAGACGAGTATAGTATCATTCACCAAGCTATTTCTTTCAGTGTACCATCACACTACCAATACTACTATCATTACTAACACTATTGCTACCACTACTACCATTACTATTACTACTACTACTTTGCCCGCACG